CGAAAGGCTGCGTTCCAAGATACTTTCATCCGCATTTCTGGTGATTGATCTTCTCATAGATAAGCGCTCTTTAGCCGCAAGGCAGGTTTGTCATTCATCGGTTATGATAATCTTCCCAAACCACTCTTCGGGGCATTTTAGAGAAAGAGAGTATCTACTCTTGTCAGTTATCCGTGTTTGGGAATAATTTACTTTGATCCTTGCTGGCCGATTCCGTACCGTTCTTTACACTAAAGCTATTCTGTGGCCAGTTGGATCGATTCTCAATCAGATATCATCATTTGGTCTGGTGGAAAGTTGGCATGAATGCTTCAGAATTCCTGACTGCAAAATAAATACACTACTCGGTTAAACTCTCGTTTGTAGAAAATGATAATGAAAAACTTTTTGCTTCAGCTGACTACATAATAATGCAGTTCGGGCGGATATCCGAAGATGTGTTTTCAATGGATTATTCGTATCCCATTTGCGCCATGCAAGCCTTTGGTATTGCCCTGAGTAGCTTCGACGGAAAACTGGCTTGTGAATAAGCGTTCATGCCATTGCTAACTTGTGTCGTTGCTCTGTTTGCGAGCGATTGAACAGTTGTTCAGTGATTGATATTTTCAGGGTAAAACTGAAACATTTGCCGCTCTTCTTTGGTCGGTACAAAGCAAAGCATTAATCATAAGATCTGAAATATTGTGAAACGTAATTTAATTTATTACATGAACATATAATTGAATAACGTACATGGTTTCAATATGCGGGAGATGATGTACAGCTTGTAAGTTACAAACGCGAAGGCAACTCATAAAAATATCCGAAACGTCAGATGTCTCTGTTGCGTGTTGTCTTCCCGTCCGTGACTTACCAAAACATTATAAATATTTGTTGAGTTCAGGGTCGCTTTGTGTCTAAATAAAAACAGTTCGCCGCTGATAAGTGATATAACTGAAATACTGTGCTGTACGTTTATGAAGAAAGCAACTTTTATGCTCATGCCCCGCTATGTTTGAAAGAGAAAAAATTTCGCAGTTCCACGTATTGACTTAAGCATGCGAACTCGACTGCTGGCATGGAAACAGATTTCTTTCTTTCAGAAGCATAAGATGTTCTTAATGGAGGTATGAAAAGATATTAATCATGCAAGCTAGAAATTAATTTTTTCCGGTTCTCTCTAGCTGTCTTCCAGAACTTCTGTTTCTGCATTTCACCGGAATGTTGTGCAACGAATCCCGTCATAAATATACTGCTAAAACGCCTAGCTTGGCTACTTTCACAGAGTAAACTCAGTGACCATGGAATGACTTAAGGCCATACGTCTGCATATTACTGTAAGGGTGCAATTCTTTAATGCATTGCTTATTTTCTTGATCAAGTGATTCGTCCCACTATGCTTTGGAGCAACCATCCACAGAAATGGCAACAAATCGATGACCTGCACACAGTAGGGACAGATGGTGTTCTTTCAGCCAGGTGAAAACTTACGAGACTCCTGAACATGCCATGTAGTGCTTGCGCTTTAAGACTGCTGTACGTGAAGATATGTGAAAATTGTTAAAATGTTGTGAATGCAGCAGAAATTGCATAAGGGTAACGTTTCACTAATGCAAACCATTTAAGACGACGAGAAAAAATTTGCGCTGGCTAATGATTGCCGATGTTCGATATTGAGTTCCGTTTTTTTACCATTATTTTCAGGTAGTGTTGGCAAATTGGAATAGGAACTCAATAAATGCCAATTCAGTCGCGTAACCAGTTTTCTCCGCTGGGAGAAAAGCTGATTCTTGTATTGCTCCTATAAACAGCTTTGACATTATTGCTTCAACCGTCATTTCCTTCTGCTCACCTCATTTTCATACTTGGCAACGTTATGCTACGCGCATCCTCCCAGTTCTGCGAGTTGGCTTGAGGGAGGACCTGAATTATTAGAACACATTGGCACTCTTAAAATCTGCCATAAATAGGCCAGCAGGCTACGTGAATCGATCGGTGGAATCACAATGCAAAATCCTTAAACTTTAGTAGCATTTAAGACCTGATACTGAGTTGAATTGGAAATTTGTTTCATTTCATGTCGTAAACCTGGTATCTGCTAGTTTCAAATAAGGCCGTCTGAATCCAATATACTGTACTAATAGAGCCGTAACTCCTGTAATTGTGACAAAGGATGCACAGGGTTTTATTAAGCAAAACTGAAACTGTTCGGTTATGGGAAGAAAAATTCCTAACGACTTTTCAGTCCATATCTCTAGAGTTCTTTCTAGCATAACCTGTTTGATAATGTCTTCTGTTAAAACTGGCAGGTTCTAGTCCTACGGAGTGTATGCCGTTTATCAGTATGACAATAGATACACAACAAAATAGTGTTACCGTTTTGGCCATTGATGTGTCATTAAGAATGCTACTGCATCTTCATCTTCATCTTCCATCGCCGCTTCTCCTTTCGGGTCGCGGAGGCAGACGCGTCAGACAGT